ATCCACAAGAATTTTCTTCCTATCAGCCTTCAAGAAAGGCTTGCAACCTGCCAAGGGAGTACTCCTCTATACCTCTCTCCAGTTCTGAAGCCTCACAAATTAGTGGCACCTGAGCCAGAGCTCAGCTGTCTGCTGTAGTTATTGCTAAGGAAAGCATCCCCTGCCCATGGGATGAGGAATCTCAAGCAATATGGCTGCAGTGCCTACAGCTCAACCTTTTACCAATATTCCTTGTTGAGACTCACTGGGTATACCACACAACATGGAAGCAAAGCAGTTGTTAATCAAGGTAGCTAGTGTTTACTCAGATGCCACTGAGTTTGAACCGAACAACAAATCAAACACTTAATTTCCAACTGTACTCCTAAAGCCCTCCTGCCTAGAAGACCTCTTTCTGATCTTCTTGCTTGCTAGTTTAGTGAAGGACTCTTGCCAACAACCATGCTTTTCACCCCTCCTTCTCAGAGCAGGAACTTGACACATATTGAAGCTGTTATCATAGGTTATGTCAGCTGCATACAGTTAACTGTCTGCTGCTGGCACAGTTATCCTTCTTTGCAGTTTGGGTATATGCAAGCTGTACTGAGAGAAATTGCATATGTTTTGCATAGCTTACTCTTAAGTGTTTTCTCTACTGGATCACAAATTTATCTGTATGATAAATAGGATTTTCCTGTACTATTCTTGCATTCACACAGCCTAAACCCTTGTAATCCTGGGTCACATTGTTGAGTACTGCAGTTGGCTTACCCAGCCCGGTTATCCCATGAGCAGCCAAAAGCCTATCATTAAACATTCATCTCAGCAGTAACTGAAGAGTACTCCACCTACCCCCCAGATACTGAGCCTCTCAATACACAAATTGTTGTAGCAGTTACTGCCACAGGAGTCACTCCACACTGCCTCTTGTCAGAGATGCAAATTATGTTCATTATGTTTTCTGAGAAGACTGATGAAAATTTTGCTTGCAGAGCCTACTTGTTGTAGGCTCTTCTACAGCAGTTCCAGTATTGTTAAGTATTATGAAGCATATTGCTTAATATAAGGGTTACACTTGCCTTCAAGATTAGATATTACCAAGACCCCCAGCTCTCCCTTGTATATGCAGCAAGAAAGGCAATGAATAGCTACACAAGGCTCAGATCTAAAAAGGTGATACAGAAAGATCTGTACCAGAGATAAGAACGCATTATCCAGGAATTTTAGAGTTCCACTACAGTTCCACTAGAGTTCTTACAGTAGGTATCCTACTGAGCAGTTAAGAGTTTCATAGATGACTATACTACAGTAAGCTTCCCTACCAGTAATTATAATTACACATATTGAAGGAAGTTTGCACTACAATTTGTAAATCCAGACTATAAAGCAATCTTGACCAGGGTCTCTCTAATTTTCCATCTCTGTGATAGTCTTGACAGCATATTATAGGGATGCCCCCATCCCTCAGAAGCACACAAACAGAAGTGTCAGATCTAGAGTTTACCTTCCATCAACCAGGGTAGCCATTGTTTGCAGACAGATCTGTGATTCAAGCTACTAGAAAACTAGTCCTTACACAGTGACCTTTGTCCCTTGCCTCAAAGCACAAATGACTGCATTCTGACAGGGCACAGAAGAGATCTGCAATGTAGAAAAACAGGTTGTAATATTAAAGCAGCATCCTTGGTACTCCCATCTTCTTTTTCCCTCTCCTAAGAGGAAAGTTTCATCCCTAGGCATTTTAGCCATGGGGCTAAAGTTATTAGGTGTGTGGCACATCAGCATTAGGATTTGAATAGACTTTGCTAGAGGCACAGCTTCCTAGCTGACATTGTGATGAAGTCTCCTGACTGTCAAGGTGAAGGTCCATCATCCTGTCTCTTAGACCTACTTTTTCTGCTGAAGATATAATCCTCATCTTATTGCTTAAGGATGTAACATGAACTGAGAGGACAGCAGGAAATTCAGCTCCAAGGCCAATAATTTGTCCTTAACTGGCCCTGTAATGTCTGAGCTTTTAGATTTAAGGGGACATGCACCAGTTATGAAGCTATATTAAAAACTTTTAAAATTAATTTTAAAAATCACACAGATAACTAGGGGCAAAGATCTACAGGGCATTTCAGCTGAGACACTTCATCCTCAAGCACTCCAGAGCATATGGAAGGCATAGTCTTTCAGATGAGGAGAGACTAGAATGGTCTATGTCTTCATCAGCCAGGGCTGAGAAGACCTGGATGGGAGAAGATGCTTTGTTCAGCACTCAGCTGCTCAGCTTGTATAAACAAGATAATCCTGTTGAAACTGCTACCTTTTGTCTATTGACTAGGCCTGCCACTGTTCTTCATCCAGCTTCTTTATGACCTGAGACCCTTGAACCCAAGCACAGCCTCAGAATCAGGTTTCTAATGCCAGTTTTTCTTCACAGTTACAATCCTCAGACAATTTATTCAATTTGACTTCTCTAACACAACCTCAAATTGTACTTCTGTGGAGTCCATGTTGGGGTAGTGAGTAGTGGCCTGTCCCTGTTTTTGTTTCACAGAATAAGCTCATTAAGACCTCTTGGCAATCCCTAATCCCAGTGGTATCATCTTGATTCTACTAACAATCCATTTGTCTGCATGCAAGATCTGAAGATTTTCTCCAAAATCCTTACATGTTACAAGTTACCTTCATGCTGCTTCAATACTTATTTTGAGAAAATCTAGCCAGCCAGCAGAATTTGCATCGGCTCTGTTTCCAGGTCAAGCTGGCTTTGTCTAGATGTGGAATTTATTGCTTTGTACAGGCAAATTCATGCTTCTATAGTGGTCACATATTGCTGTCCTTGCTGAATAAATTCCACAAGCATTCCCAGGGTTAACCCAGCTGGTCACACAAATTTTCTAAAAGTGTGAGGTTTACTAGGAAAGGAGCGCATCAATAAGAGAGAAAAATCAGCAGGTTTGACAACAATACCCAACAACTATAGCATGTTGGTGCACTTTTACATCATATCTCAAGCTATGGCTTTTCTACTTTGATTTTTGAGCATCCACACTGGCTTCACCCTTCCTTGACATTTAAGTGCATTTATTTGCTTTGCCACAGAGACAAAAATCTTTCTATACATTATAATCACCTGCTTAGAGTGTTTCTTCTCATATCTGCTTGAGAAATAGGGGTCTTGAGCAAGAAGAAGTACATCTACAGTAGATCTATGAGCTTTCCTATGCACCAAATCATGGTGTTTGCTAGTTAAGCCTCTGTTCTGATGACTCACCTGACACTGATTTAGCACTCTCATCCTCTTTACTTTTGCTACCATTTGGTTGTCCTTCTTCCAAAACAAACCTACTATTAATAAAAATTTCTGCTTCAGACGTGACCACATCCTCACACCATCCAGGGAATTTTGAAAAGGTGATTGTGCCTCAAGAAACATTGTGCTGGATGCAACTCCAGTGATTCTTTGAACAGATGTGGTGGGTGACCCCCCTAAGAGAGTGTTCAACTGGAAAGATTTTCTTTGGATTACAATTCATGTCTCCAGCCTCACCTCCCTCCAGGAAGGTCCTAATGGAAACTGACACAAAGACTGCATCATTACAATTGCCTAGGAGATCACTATCAGGCAATGTCATCCTTTCAGTTTAACGTTGCCTGTCAAGTCTTCACAGCAAACTAGAACATACACGGTCAAAATGAATTTTCTCTAATTGAATCTGCACCTTTACTTTTGTCTATTTACAGAGATGTTGCCTTCCTAGAGCATACCTATAGCCATTCTTTAGCATACCATGTGTGCCTCCATGCTCTCAGATTTGGTTACTTTTGGGCAGCCTTGTTTATGAAAGTTACAAAAACTTCTGAAGAAAAAAGTGTTCCCTTTTAAGGCAAACTAGCTTAATTAGGAGAAGGTTTAAAAATTTCCAACTCTCAAAATAATAAAATCATCAGCCTTTCCAGTGAATTTGTAGAAAGCATTTGAGTAACCAGTCTCAACATTTTTGAGACTTTTCACAGAGAAGTCCACCTGAGGAGATCTGTCTACAGCAACAGCTGCATTTCTCTTATGGCTCACTGCATTAGCATCACCAAGTGTCACCATATAATAGACATTAGACTTTATATAGCATCACCTGAGAAGCCAATTTCCCTGCCACAGTAGAAGACTAATTCCAGAAAATTGTCAACATCTACAGCTATCCCAGTTTACCCCAGACTGAAGCAGCATGCAGAAATTCACTGGCAGACAGAGGAGTGCTCCATCAAAAACAGCAAGGACACTCCATCTGAAAAGAGAACAAACCCCTCCTCCTGCTTCACAGCATCCTAACCTGTGCTCTCATTATCTCTGCTATTAGAGAGATCCTTTCATATTAGTTATTTATTATAATTAGTTATAGAAACCAGGAAACTAAGAGTTTATATAGTTAATCTGTTTAATGATTTCAACCCCATCCTCCCCACACACAAACCCGAAAACTCGCGTTCATATTGCTTTACTCTCATGTGTCCCCCAGCATCGCCCGCCCCGCCGGAGCCAGGAGCAGGATGCGGGCGGCTTCTACCGCACCTCAGCCGGGACACGCTCCCCGCAGCCCGGCCCGGCAGCACCGGGAGCCCCGCGGGACGGGGCCACCCCCGCTCCCCTCCCGGCGCAGCGCGGCCCCCGCGGCTCCTCTCCTCTCCTCCCAGCTCCTCTCCTCTCCTGTCCTCCCTCTCCCCCCAGCTCCTCTCCTCTCGTCTCCCCCCGGCTCCTGTCCTCTCCTCGCCTCTCCTCTCCCCCCCGGCTCCTCTCCTCTCCTCTCCCCCCCCGGCTCCTCTCCCCGGGAATGCGGCAGCGGCGCGGAGCCGACCCCGGCCCGGCCGGGCACTGGCGCCCCCTCCGTGCCAGCGCCCACCCCACGCCCCGCCGCCGGCACCGACTGTCGCGGTGACAAAAAAAGCTGCTTGCCGCGGTGACAGCTCCTTCACGCCCGCACCACCCCTCCCCGGCTGTGCGGGAGCCGAGCCCAGCGCGCAAAGCTCCTTACAGGCTAGATCCGTGCCGCTCCGTGCATGATCCGATGACCGCAGCCGGTAGCCTGGCTGGGACCGGGGCCCCGGTTAAATATTCGGTTGCGCTCTCGCCTTCAGATTAGTTAGCCACTCACAGCGAGCGATATGGTTTTAATCAGATGCTGGCAGCTGACGACTACCCAGGAATGCGCTGTGATGTTTTTGCTGCTCGGTCTTGGCTACTCCCCCTCAACGTGTCGGTGCTCACAAGTTTAACCCCTTGCGAGCCGCCGCTCCGGCCGCCGTCTGCGGGGCGGGAGGGAGCTCCTGAGGCCCGGACAGCCTCTCACGGGGGACAGGCGAGGGGGGCCGTGGGACCTGCAGGGACACGGAATCGAGTGGCACCCACCCTCTTTGTGCTCCATCTACCCAAATCTGTGACCAGCCGAACCAAAATATTGGGTCAGTGCAATTGACTGTCTGGGTCACATCGAGACCTGACCTTTGTACTTCCCACTCGTCTTTATTCAAACATCTATCAGGGTTTCTTTCCCCCCAGAGTAGTACAGCTGTTTTCCAACTTATATGAAAGAACTTCTGATAAAA